AAAAAATGTAAAAAATACTTATTAACAATAATCAAGTTTAAAAGCTTAAATTAAAAAACATAAAATATAAAAAATATATTTTAAACAAAACTTAATATAAAAAAATTATATTTATTATTTAAAAGTAAGAAGGACATATAAATAAGTTATATTAAAAAATTTTAATTATAAAAATAAAGATAACATAATAAATTAAAAACAAACAAAAAATCAAAGAATCTATCAAATATATTATAAAAATAAATTAAAAAAAATATTTATTATTTAGAAAAAATTCTAAATTATTTTACTAAATTAAAAAATTATAATATTTTTTTATATAATAAAGTAATTTTTTTTATAATTTTGTTTACTTATATAAAAATAAATAAATTATAATAATATATATTTTAACAGAGTTAAATAAAAAGATTTTTTCAAAGAAATAATAAATATATATAAGATACAAAAATATTATTCTTTTAAAAATTATTACAAATTACATATTTTAATAAAGTTAGAAATTCCTTAGTCGATTTTTGATATTTAACTTTATAAGAATAATTGTAAAGTCAAAAGGGGTATAATAAAATTTATAAATGCTATTTTTCTATTGGTTAATTGATTAAAACAAATTAAGTTTTAATTTTCAAATATTTTAAATAAAAGAAAGACATTATTTATTATTTTAGCTTCCACAAAATATGCAAAAAATAAATAAATGAAATTTTCTCTTTATATAATTTATAATATATTTTCTTTATGTATTTTTTCGAAAATAACTTAAAAAATACAATTTGTCTAATTTATTTTAATTTAAAAAACAAATGATTGTTATTAAAAATTATATTTATTAAAGTAATAATTAATTTATTTATTTTTAATTTAAAATATTAGGTTTAATTTAAAAAAAGTGCATTTTTTTAATTTATGTTTTATATAATTCAAATTATTAGTTTATTTTAAAAATTAACTAACATTCACAATTGAAAAGTAATTGAAAGTAAAACATATATATTCTATATAATATATATTTGTTTTTATATTATATATATATATTTTTTGTTTATCAAATAAATGTAATCTTTCATTTTATATTTTAATTTTTCTTTTCTTTGTTTTTATTCAATTCTTTAAAATTATTATAATTTTTGTTAAGCTCTTTTTACTCTTAGTTATAGTCATAATTAATTAAATTAATATATTTTTATTCTTTTGGTTTCGGCATCCTTCATCTATTATACTTTTTATTATTAAGTGATCTTATAAATTCCTCTTTTTCTTACTGAATTTCCTTTTGTGACATATAAGAATGACAATTTTTTTTTTTTTTTAAATATCAAAAAAAATTATTTTGTATATTTTTATATCCTTAATCAAAATCTTTAAGTAATTTATTTTTGTTTATTTACTTGATATTTTAAAAATAAATAGTTTGTTTAATCAAAAAAGTGTAAAGATTTTAATAGATAGTCTTTTTCAGGCAAGTTTAAAAAATCGTAACCCAAAGACATATCTATATACTTTTCAGATAAAAGTTTTAAAATTTTTTAATAAATTTCAAACTTAGTTTAAGACTTGTTCAGCTTTAGAGTGAATTTAGGCCAATTTTCCAAAATTAAAACTTTTACTTCACCTTTTAAAGTTTATTCAAGAAACTTTTGATTGACTGTTTTTGAAGAAAATTAATGTAATGAAAGCTTAATTATTTACTTAAAAGTAAATTGTTTATTCTCAATAATAATATATATAAATAATTTATAATTTTTGCAAAACAATTTTTTTTTTTTAAATAAATTAAAAAAGATGAGATTATTTCCAATTAGTTAAAATAAACTAACTTGAATATTTGAAAAGAATATAAAAATATTTTTTTGTTTTGTTTAAAAAGTTAGATAATGTTTAAAATAGTAAATGTAAAATTTCAAGAAAGTTTTAAATGAGATTGAACAATAATACAAAAAGAAAATTATATTTAATAAAATTTAGCTTTGATTTAAAAAAGAATTATATCTAAAATGAATTTTTAAAAATTAAATTTCAAAAATATATGAAAAACTATTCTAATTAAAAATACAACTATAGTACTGAAACCAACTACATATCTCTAACACCAATTTAAATAAAATTTAAATTAATAATTATAGTATAAAAATAATTTTTATCCTAAAAGTGACTTAATTTATACTTATATACTTTAAGCAAAATGTCACTATGTACTTCTCATTTATCTTCTCACAACCCTCCCAATCTTTTTAGGAGTGGGATTTATTTGAAGTGTTAGATCTCTAGACGTTTATCATTGTCTCTCTCTGTTTTTTTTTTTTTTTTTGGGAATTTAGAATAGATATATTTTATTTTTTTACTAATCTAAAATTTATTAAAAGTAAAATTTAATGAATGAAAGTAAAATTTTAATGAATTGTCTTGAAAAATTATTAAATGATATTATTATTTATTTTAGATATGTGTTTTTTATTTTATATTGTGTAGCACAATGTGTTAGCCATATAATTTAATTATGACAGTATACTATTATGCAAAAATACATGCATATATTATATGTTATAAACTTATCAACCTTAAGTACAACTAAAATATATTATTTATATACTTTTTTATTATATATATAAGAATTTAAATAAACATTTTTTTATATTTATTAATAATATAAAAAAATTATTTTTATTTATAATTTTTATAAAATTTTTGAATGTTTTTTTATTATTATTTAAAAATTTGAATAACAATTTTTTTTATTTATGTAAAATTTCTTATAAACTACAAAATAGTAGCTCGAATAAGAAATATAATATTTAATTTAATGTAACTCTAATTTAGATTATGATAATACTTTAAAAGTTGATAATATTTTACAAGAAGAGCTTAAATTAACTTAAAAAATTAAAGATATATAAGATAAACAAAATTATATAGATAAAGAGTAATAAAAAGAAAATAGTATTCAAGGAAATGATTTCGAAAGTTTATTAAATTTATTTTTTCAAGATAAAAGTTAGATCTATATTTAAAGCTTACGGAATATTTATTAGTAAGAAATTAATAATCAAGCTCTAAAATATAAAATAAGTTTATAAGAATTCGAAAACTAAATTTTAGCATATAAATAATAAGCAATAAATTCAGAAGAAAAACAAATAATAAATTTATAAAATTAAAAAGAAAAATATGAGAATCAAATATTTTAATAATAAGAAGAATATAGTAACAAATTATAAGTAATATAATAATAATATTAAGAGAAAATAAATATTTTATAAAGCAAATAAGAAGAAATGTAGTAAATTAATTAATAAGCTTAAAACTAAATAATAAATTATCAAAAATAAATATAAAAAATGATTGAATAATCTAAAAATGATAAATAAATTTTATAAGATTAATAAAAAAAGTAGGATTAGTTTTTATCAATACTAAATGAAACTAGAGACAAAATATATATTAAAAACTAAGATAATTTGTAAAGAATTTAGCAAAATTTTGATATTATTATTAATAACTTAAAATAATAATTAGAAGATAAAAATAATATTATTTTAAATCTTTAAGATTAGATTAAAATAATTCAAAATACTAATAATTAAAAAAATACTATTTATGAAGATAAATACTAAATATAACAAAAATAAATAAAAGAAAAATAAGATTAGGAAATTAATTATTTGAAATAAGAAAATTAGCTTTATCTATAAGAGAAAAACCAATTAAAGTGCATAATTACAAAATTAGAATAATAAATCTAAAAAAGTAAAAAGCTTAATTAATATGATAAAAAGGATAGAAATTTATTTTTTTAACAACAGTATAAATCATATTTTACGAAAAATTTTTGAAATGATAACCTTAAATATATTTTATTTAATCTAAAATAAACTATTGATATTTAAAATTCAAATTTTATATTTACAGTTATAATTTATAAAAAAGAGTTTATTCAGATTTAATTAATGTTTGTTTAATTAAATACTTTATAATAATTTATATATGTATGATGTAAAAAAAAAAACATTTGACTTAAATATAAAAAACACAAAACTAAAAATTGTATTATATAAAAGGCACTTTTTCAATTCGTATTTATAAAAGCAAATAAAATATAGAATATATAATTTTTAAAAATTTAAATAATAATCTTTTTTAAGAAATTTATGCTTTATCTAAAGTAAAATTAAAAGGATATTATGTTTTATCCAACTTTAATAAAATATATTTATAAAAATAAAGGTTCTAAGAAAAGCATATGTAAAAGTTATGAATTTGAAAAAAAAAATATGGGAATGTTTTTTGATTGTTATAAATAAACTATTATATAATTGTTTTTAATAAAAAAATTAATTTGATTTGAAAATATGTATAAATTTATTTAAAGACATAAATATTTTTTATAAAATTATAATATTAAAGTTTATTTCAATTTTTTTTTTTTTTTTAATGATTTTGAATAATCTATTTTTAGATTTATAAATAAAATTTATTATCTTCATAAATAAGATATTTTTTTAATGTTTATACCTTCAATCTTAAATATGTTTTTTAAATAATCTAAATTTTTAATATGTCTCAAATACTTTAATATTATTTATTTGTTTTATAATTCTTATTATTCAAGTTGATTTTTTTAAAAATTATGCCAGAAAGTATCGCACTATTAATTTTCTTGTTCAATTTCTTATTTCTATATCCTAATATCATAAATGCTTTTAATAGATTGTGGCAAAAGAGGTGAATTAGCTTCAGATAATTTTTTAATATAGTTTATATTTAAATAAATGTTAAAAAAATTGCTAAATTTATACAAATTTCCAGCTAAAACAATTAAAAATAAAGTAGAAATTTTATTTCTAAGTTTACTATTAGGATTTCTTCTAAGAACCATTTATTATCTATTTGTATATTTAATATTTAATAAAATTATAATTATCGTTTATTTAATTATTTAATTTTAAAAATAAAATAACAAAAAGATATTATATATAAATTATATCAATATATAAATTATTAAATAAAATGAAATCAATAAATTTAATTTAAAAACATGAAATTAATTAAATTAAGCAACTATATAATTTTTATATACGAAATATTTAAATATTTAATTTTTTCATTTCATTAAAGGCATGGAAGTTGAAACATTATATGCTGCATCTGTTTCTTCTTTCCATCTTGAAGTAACAGTTTTCATTTAAGTATAGAACTTAACCCCAGCTTTTCCATAAAAGTTCAAGTCTCCTGCAAAAGATCTCTAAAATATTAATAAACAAAATAAAAATAAAGTAAAAAAACCTTATTTCCTGTAAATGAAAGCATAGGAAGAGGTACTGGAATAGGCAAATTAATACCGATTTACCCGCATTCAATAAATTGTTAAAAGTGTCTTGCATAAGACATGCTTTTAGTGAAAATAGCACATCCATTTCCATATTAATTACTATAAAAAGTTAAAATTAATTAAATTAAAAACATACCTATTTATAAATTTGATAGCCTCATCTAAAGTATTTACATGTACAACACATAATACAGGCCCGAAAATTTCTTCTTAATAACACTTCATGTTTGCTTTTACTCCACTAATAACAGTAGGTCCAACAAAATTTCCATTAGGATATTTTTAGTTTTTATAAGTTCTACCATCTAAATGTATTTTAGCTCCTTCTTATTCAGCACTATCAATAAGCTCAATAACTCTTTTTTTTAACTTTAAAAAATTATATATATTAAAAGTAAATTAGAATTATAAAAAAAAATAGAAATTACTTCAGGATAACACAAAGCAGCCAAATCGACACCTTCATCCATACCATTTCCTACTTTTAGTTTTTTAGCTTTTTCAACTAATTCAGGAAGCCAATTAATACTATCTCCTACCATAACAGCAACCGATAAAGCCATACATCTTTATCCAGCGGCACCAAATGCAGCAGAGACAAGTGCATTCAAAGCATCTTACTTATCACAATCAGGCATAATAACACCATGATTTTTAGCTCCCATATTAACTTGACATCTTTTTAAATTTTTAGAAGCATTTTAATAGATAAATTCTCCTGCTTTATTTCCACCTACAAATGAAATTGCTTTAATATCTGGATGTTCAGTTATTTATTTGACAGTATCAAATCCTCCATGTACAACGTTTATTACACCTTTAGGAATTCCAATTTCATTCATTATATTCATAATATGTTAAACTGTTCCTGGAACTTTTTCCGATGGTTTTATTATAAATGTGTTTCCACATGTTATTGCATAAGGTATCATCCATAAAGGTATCATACACGGAAAATTAAAAGCTGATATGCCAGCACATACTCCCAAAGGGACTCTATGAGAATACATATCTACTCCTTTTGCAACATTAGGTATTGTTTCTCCTTACATTACATGAGAAATACCTTTATTTGATTTTGATGTCGATTTTTAAAAAACAAATAAATACCGCATGAATGTTCAATTACTTCTAATCCTCTAATGATATCACCTTTAGAATCAATTAAGGTCTTTCCGTTTTCTTAAGTTATTATTTTAGCTATTTTATCTGTATCTTCTCGTATTCTATGTTATAAATTTAGCATATATCTTTGTCTTACTAATAGAGGTGTCTTTTAATTGAAAAATATTTTTTTATTTATATTTTTAGCTTTTTATTTACTTGACTCCATGTTTAAAATGCATTCTATGCACATTAAACAGCCTCATTAAATTCTTCAGGTGTTGATTAAGGCACTTTTGATATAAGTTCTTATGTAATTGGATTTCTTACTTCAAAAAATTATGTTGCTTTTGAAGATTTCCATTCTCCATTTATAAAGTTTGACAAAACCTTTTGTTTATAAATTTATTCATTTTAATATGAGTATATATATATAATTATTTTGAACATTTGAAAAATTAAAAGAAAGATAGGGATTGAATAAATTAGCTGATTTCAATTATTTTTAGATGTGTAATGATATCATTTTTTTATTTTTTAAATTTCTATTATTTTTTAAATTTTTTTTTGTAAAATGATGATAGGAAAAAAAATTATATGAAGGGAATTTTTTAATTTTAATCTTTTCTAGTTTTATTTGTTTAATAATTATATAATAATGAAATTTTTTGTAATTATAGATGAACATATCAAAATAAATCTAACATAATACGTATTATGTATATTAATTAAAATATAATAAATATCCATAATAAAAATGTATAATTTTAATATAAAAGATATTTAATTTAAGCAAAATTATATTTTTATTTATAAATATTGTATAATTTAGTTTAAATTAAATATGAATTTATGTCCTCATTTTTATTTTATTTTTGATATAATTTATCTAATCAATATATATATATATATTTTAATTTATTATTTAATAATTAAATTATATTTAAGTCTATTTGAAAATATTGTAATTTTAAATTTTAGCTTATTAAAAATTAATATAATAAACGAAAACAATTAATTTTTATATATTTATATTATTTATTTTATCAAATTTAAAAATAAAGTTAAATAAAAAAATAAAACTTAAAATACATATATTAAATAAAAAATAAATGCAAATATCATAATTTCTAACAAAATCTTTATTTTCTGACATTTAAATATAAACATATAATAAATAGGATTAATTTTCTCTCCATAAAATAATTTTATCATCCTAAAGTCAATTATTATTGCAAATATTTGAATAAAATCCTTAAATAAACTGTTTAATTCTTCCAAATCTAATAATTCCTTATAAGGAGTCATCTGGATAAACAGAAAAATTTTAACTATCTACAATATTTTAGCTAATATATAATTAAGTAGATAATTAAAGTGACTCAAAAGGTTTAATAATATCTTAAATAAACAAACAAAACTGTATGCAAATTTATTCATTTTGTAAATCTTTACAATTCGAATCTTTATATAAAATCCTGGAAGATTATATCATAAAAAATATGTTAAAAGAAGAAGAAATTTTCTATTTGTTATATGACTCCATACAATTTGATAGTTTAAGTCTTCAAAAAACTTCTTTGGATATAATAATACCTAAATTTGGTGATATTCTAAGATTATCTTCTTTATCTAATCTTTTAAACTAGCTTCCTTTTCCTGTATTCCTTTCTATTCTTTAAAGGGATGACCTTAATATATCTGATGAAAGTGATCTCCTTAATATAGTTTACTAATATATTAATTTTAAATAAGTATTTTTTTTTTTTTAATTGCATTTTTATAATTTATTTTACTTACTAAAAGAACTCTTCTAATCCATAAAATAAAAATTCTTAAAATATTTAATTATAACCACTAGAAAACATATAAAAACCGCATACAAATGCTGAAAAAATAGTTTAAAATGTTGATTAGATAGAAAAATAGACCGAAAATGTAGAAAATAATATAATTTAGTAAGAATATAAAGAAACACCAGCATAAAATGCTGAAAAACTTGTTGAAAATATTGAAAATATTGAAAATATTGAAAATATTGAAAATATTGAAAATATTGAAAATATTAAAAATATTGAAAATAAAGCTGAAAATGCTGAAAATCCAGCAGAAATAGTTGAATAACATATAGAAAAAAATCAAAGCAAAGAATAAAAAGATGAGAAGACTTACTAAATGAAAGAAGATTTAGACTAAATGGCAAAACAAAAATTAATAAATTACCAATTATCATCTGAAGAAAAAAAAAAGCTACTTTTATCGATAAGATTAGGATATGTAAGTCATGAAAATTTACTAAAATATAGTAAAATGCCATATTTTTAAGAATTTAAGGACATATTTTTACTTGCAATTTCTTCAAAATTAAATTATTATGACTCTTAAACTGAAAATACTGAATATTTATTTAATCTTAACCCAAGATAAAGTTATGAAAAAAACGTTTTTAATTTGAGTCAAGCTAATTTAAATAAAGATAACTAAGCAGAAAAAAAATCAGGGATCATTAATACTTCTAATATTAATTAATATTAAAATAATATTAGTCCTGAACAAAATTAAAAATAATAAGAAATTTTAAAAACGAAAGAAAAAATATATCAATAAGATTAATAAAATAAAAACTTATAATAATAAACTAGAAATAACCAAAATTAAATATACGATATTATGGAAGAAGGTTAAAAGTATTAGGAAAATAACAACAATAATAACCATTTTTCATAGTTTAATTATTCTTCTCCTTTAAATCATTATCCATTAACTAAATCTTATGTAAGTCCTCCTCAAAAACATAATACTTAAAATAACTTTTCTTAATTTTCTCCTAATTAAAATCTTCCTAATTACCCTTCTGAATTTATTTATAAATACGATTTTGATGAAAATGGTGTTCTTTATTATATTGGAACATAAGGAAAAAAAAGACCATATATAAACCCTCATGATTTATGTTAAGTTAAAGCATTTTGCTCTAGCTTAAGAACAGGGAAAATATAATACTTTGTAGGCCGAGAATTACAAAATTTATCGACTACAAATGAAAAAATGAGCTTTTTTGGTGTTAATTTGAGCAAAGAAAAACTCCTTGCACCTACATGTTATACAATAAAAATTAGAAATTCAACTACTTATGTTTTACTAAATTGGGCTTTGGAAGCTTCAATTGATAATGAAGATTATATTGTTATCGATTAAAGAAAGTTTTGGGATGAAAATGATTCTCATTTTAGTTATTAATGTTAGATGGAAAGGGAAGCTTTAAAGGAAAGAGGAGCAACTTCTACTTATGCAATTGATTAATAAAGACTACAATGTATTTTAAATTAAAGATAAATAAAAGGTTTCTGCTATTTTAGAATTAAATAAATTTCAAAAAATTCTCATGGAAGTGATAATCTTAATCTTTCAGGATTTGAATTATATGGAAAGACTTTCGGAAACGGATGGATTTGAACAATATAAATAAATATATATAATACATTATTTTATTAAATTATTTATTTATATAAAAATCAATATTTTTATATTTGTTTAAGTATGTATTTTGCTTAATATTTTCTATTCATATTTTCCAAGCATTTTTTATCATTAATTCGAAATATCTATCATCATCAATAGATGCACTAACATTATTGTAATATTCATAGAACTCTTCTTAAGTAACTGATCTATTTCTCAGACTTTAATCACCATTCTTATAAAAATAAAATAAAATTTAAATTAAATATATCATGTAATAATATATTAATATACTAGCATTGCATGATGTTATTCAAAAGTATCTAAAAATTCTCCGAGAATTTCTTCTTCATGTTTTTTTCCATTTATAACATCAGGATGCTGTTTAGTATTATAAACACCAATAATATCATCCAATTCAATAAACCCATTTTTATTTCTATCAAGTTTATTAAATACTTATTAAATAAGATTTTTTCTATTTCTGTTCATTTCACCAACTATAGAAATTAAAAATTCATCGTAACTAATTTCCCCTGATCCGTCTCTATCAAAATAATCAAATAGATGCTAAGATTATTATTCATTTAATCCCATTCTTAAATCCTTACAACATTTTGCGAATTCTTCCAAACTAAGGTTTTTGCTGTTGTCATCATCTATAATTCTAAAAAGCCTTCGTAGACTATAAATACCTCTAGTACCTCTAGTAATTATTTTTGTTTTAAATTAATTAAAATATTCTTGTGCTTATTAACTTAATCTAGGATTTTTGACATAATAATTATTCTATTAATATTATTATTTGATTTATAAAGCTTTTTCATCAAAAGGACTTTCTTGCTAAGTGTTTTACTCTTTTTTACAACATCAGGGTGTTCATTAAAATTATTATCTTTTTTTTTATTTTAAGCTTATTATTATTATCTGTTTTATAAATTTTAATTATAGTAATCTTAAACTGTATTTTTTTATTAATTATCTCCAGTCCATCCTTTAGTATTTAAATTTTTGTTCGCAAATTCATTCATTTTCCAAGCATTATTCATCATTAAATCGAAATAATCATCTCTATCAATAGAAGCACTAATAAAAGTATAATAATCTTCGAATTCAGGTAAAGTTATTTGTCCATCTTTAATTCCTCTAAACCCAGTATAAGATTCAAATGTATTTATAAACTCTAACAATACTGAATCTTCAGTTCTCTTTCCACTTCTTACTTCAGGGTGCATTTTAGCATTATAAGCTTATTTTATATCATATAAATCAACAACTCCGGATCCATCTTTATCTAAAATTTAGAAAGCTTATTAAACCAAGCGTCTTCTTTTTAAATTCATAGGACCTCTTACTGTTAAAAGAAATTCATCGTAATTAATGCTTCCAGAACCATCTTTATCAAAATATTCAAATACTTCTTGAATTTATTAATCTGTAATATCTACTTGGATATCTTTTACAGCTTTACGGAATTCATTTATATTTAAATCCTTTGAATTGTCATCATCGAAAATCTTTATTTTTTTTTTAACAATTTTTTTTTATATAGATATTATACTCTGAACTATCTACCTAATCCTAGTATTCCTGTCCCTCCCCTCGAAAGTAACTTTGATTAAAATTTCAAAAAAGAAGCTTATTGATTATCTGCACCTGTAGATTATTGATTATTATTTTATTACTTTGAATGTTAAGGCTATTGACTTTTATTTTTATAAATTTATATTTAATTTATTTTTTTAAATTATACTTTTATGATTATAAAGAGTTTGGGTTAAATAATATGTTAACAAATTCTTTATAATCTAATACACCGTCACCATCTTTATCATAATAATTATATAAATCTATTAATTCCTAAAACAATTAGATAAATTATACTTTATTTTTAATTAAATAATTATATTGTTACTTGTTTATTTAAAACTAGTATTCCTACTCTTTCTAAAGATTTTGAAAATTCATCTATTTCAATTTTCCCATTATTATTTAAATCAAAGTATTTAAAAGCTTTTAATAAAATTGACTCCTCAGTTAATTTTCCTGTAGCCTTTTAATTTAATCTTTATTTTAACTCTTTTTCAAATCTGTTATTGTTAATTAGACTATTTTTTATATATTTTTTTATATATATACTTTTATATGTAAGATGCCATTATTTAATTTTATTTTTATAAATTTATTAATAAATAATTTTTATTTATAAAGGATATTTATTTTATATTAAAACAAATTTTGAATAAATAAAAAATTATTTCAATCTTAAAATGTTTCAAGAAAATTATAATATAACTTTATTTTATAATATATATATAATAGTTATTATTTCTTAATCATTTATAAGTTAATAACTAAATATACATAAAATTAAAAAAATTATAATTATTAAGTATAATAACATATAATACAATAAATGCAGTTAACAAAAAATGTAATTTTAAAATAGTAAAAAAAATTAATAATAGATAAAAAAAAATGAAATAAAAATATATAAATAAAATATTGCAATTTATATAATAAAAAAAATATTCTAAAGAACTAAATAGTTATTAGAATGAAAGAAAAAAATTTTAAATTTTCTAATAAAATAAAATGTTTTTATTAATATTAATATAAATATAATTATATATATATATATATATATATATATATATATATATATTTTATTATTTATATATATATATATATATATATTCTTGCTTTTTTATATTATTAAATTAATTTTATTTATTTCATTTCCATTTATATAGTTAATTCCTTAATTTTCACTGTATAGAAAATATTTATTTTTTTATTTTTTCATATTTTCTTCATTATTTTTTTTATTTTTAATATTAAATTAAAAAGATTCATATTTTATTTATTTATTTATTTATGTTTTTCTCTCTATATCATAATATAGACACACTTAAATAATTTTTATTTTAAACTGTATTTTTTTTATTTTATTTATATATTTTAAAGTAGTGTTAATAAAATATATTTTTTTCTTATATATCTTTATTTATATAAAATTTTTTTTTATAAATGATTTTTTTTTATTTTTGGTTTTTTTTTAATTAAATAATAATTTAATTATAAAAAAAAATTATTTAATAAATAAATATAAAAAATATTTATAAACTTTTTATATATATATAATTTTTATTCTAATTTTAAGCATCTTTTATTTTATAATTATTTTTCAAAATACATATTCTTAAGTTTTTTTATTTTAAAAATAACTTTCACTAAAAAGGCATTTAATTTTGTTACATACCAACTTATAACTTAAATAAAAAATATATATTATTAAAAATAATGAATTTACTTAATTCATCATCATTAACATTTAATGTATTTAATTAATATCCATAGGCATCATACCTACAGCTGCCATCATAGTTTAAATTTAAACAGGATCTTAATTCTAGTATTCTTTAAGCGCATTTTCGATTTCTTATAATAATTCTTATTCTTTTTCTGATGAGGCATCTTTTAAAATATTTAGCAGAATTTCAGTCGCACCTAAAGGATTTCCCTGTCTGTTTAAAGATTCTGCCATTTTAATTTATTCTTAATTTGGATTAACTTATTCTACTTAAGGTATTAGCTAGTATAAAATGCTAGAAAATTTATGCGACATTTAAGCTTAAATAAAATTAAACTATGCCATTTATTGTTATTATTATTATTGCTAATACATCATCATATTCATATCAATTTAATTAATTGGCATTTAATATTGATATCCATTAATTACACTTTACTTTTTATTTTAATAAAAAAATTTATTTAAAAAAATATTTACACTTTATCTTTATTCTTCTTTTGAATGTGAATATAGACATCTTGATTCAAATTTACAATTACATTCTCCTTTATTTATTTATATTTTTAAGTTAAGAATTAATAAGATTATTACCTGTTTATTCATTATAATATCTACACATTATTTATTTAAAATTTGTTGTAGGTTATGAAGCACTAGCTTTTTAAAATGGCTTTTTTTAAAAACTACCGAATTATAATTCATGTTCCCCATGTGCAAATGCACATTCGTTTTTTTTAGGACAGTTTCCAGCTTATTAAATAATATTTTAGTTAATTTTATTTACATATTTTTATTTTACTTTAACTAAAATGTTTACATAATTATGTTTTAAACTTATTATTTACTCCTAATGGTTATATATTCATTTTTTAATTGTTTTGTTTTATTTTATTTTTAATCTTTTATTCTGATTATATCTTTATTTTTATAAAATATATATGATTAGTGTCTATATAAATATAATTAAAAATTTATTTTAATATCTTATTAAAACTAATTTTTTTTTAAGAATATCTCATTAGTAAAACATATAATAAAATACTTTATTTTATAAAATATACAATAATGCAAAAAAAGTATTTATAATAAATGCAAAAATTTTACTATTATTATTTAAAAAAAAAAATATTAAGTTAACATCATTATAAATAGTAATATTAATTGTTAATAAAAAATTAATTTGATATTATAATAACTAAATTTTATAAATTAGAAATACAAAAAAATAATGGAGATTGTATAATATATACAAATAAACATAAAAATATATTTAATACTATATTTTAAACTTATTAAGAAAGTAAAAATAAATAAAATTAAAAAATTTCAAAACAAAATCAATTTTTATAGAAAATTTTAGATTTCATTTATCATATAAAATCTATTTATTTATTTTTTATATTTCTTTTTTTAAAATTTCATTTTTTCTTTTATTATTAGGCTTAATAATCTTCTTCATATGAAATTCCTAATAGTTCAATCATTGCCACATAACTAATATGATCTTCAGGACTTTCATCATTAAATTTGAAAAAAAAATATTAACCCGGCCCAGCTAAAATACTACCTCCTAATTAAAAAACGTCACCCTATACCCCTCTTCTACAAAAAGCTATAGAAGTCCACAAAAATCCACAACATAATCCTGTAGTAGTTTCTGCGCTTTAATTTTTTCCTATTAATCCACTTGGCTTTTCTACTCTGGTTAATCCAAGTCTTTAATAAATAACTCTTTCAGGATCTACGAAACATTTATTAGGCAAAAATCCTGTATCTACACAAAAAGAGTTAATTCCACTAGTTTTTCCGCATCCAATTACTTTTAAATCAACATTCTTTTATTATAATATATTCCAACTAATCCGCGAAATTGACCTAATGAAATCTCTACAAACAAATCAATTAAAATGCCTTATGAAAAGTAATAATGTTTTTTAATCTTTAAAAAGTGAAGAAAAAGCAAATTATTGATTATTTTAATCATAAACAATAAGTCCTTTAATCAAATTTTCTACATTTTATTTTTTGCTATATTTTTTAATAAAATTATCTCTATTTTTTATTTCTTATTCGTTTAATTTACCCTTTTCTTCTTATTCGTTTTTTATTATTTTATCAATTGTTTTATCTTATTATTTATCTTTTTTATCGTCGAATTTTTCCATTTACTCTTTTATTTACGCTCTTATTATTTTTATTTAAATCTAAATTTTTCACTATCAGTAAGTTTCTATTAGTTACGATAGTCAAGCTGAGGTTCGTCACTTATTTAAGAGTCCATAACTATTTTTTTATTTTACTTTTTTATAGAAAATTATATCTATAAAAATTTTATGTAAATACTTTTTCAAAATATAATGTTAATTATTATATTTATTATATATTAAATTTTCTTTCTGTTATATTATTTTTATATTAATTATATTTTATAATTTGATTAAATTTATGATTGTTAAATTTATAAAGATAAAAAAGTCAAAGCTTAGAATCTTTTATTATCTAAATTAGCATTTAAATATAAATTATGAGTTTTAGTAAAAATTTTTTTATGATGAATATTTAAATAACTTTTTTTTTGAATAACAATATAATAATAAAGTTGAAATATTTTTAATTTTTGTATTTTTTATTCTAAAAACAGATTTCTTAGAATTTTAATCAAACTTAAATTAGATTTAGCATGATTATTTAAATCAATAACTAATTTAAATTTTATTTAGAGCATTTATATATTTAACTATTAAGAAAACTAATATTTCTTTGCATATATTTGGTTTTGCAAATTAAAATTTTTTATTTTTAAATTTGATATTTATCTTATTTTATAGAAAGGTGATTATATAATTTAAACCTTTGTTTTTGAAAAAAAATTGTTTTATTCTCCTCATTCATTATAATTAAAAATAATTAATTTATTAATCTACTTGTATATTTATTTTAATTAAGTTTAAATTTATAAGGGGATAATATTGAATTTTTTTATTCAATTTTATGTTTAATTTTTTTGATTTTTTTCAAATATTTAATCATAATATTATTAATAAATTATATTTTTTTAAAAAAGTTAACGAATATTGTGTTTTAGTATGTTTTTTAGTTAATTATATTTTTAAAAATAATAATTTATTATTTTAAATTTAATTTAGTTTATTCTTATTAAAATTTTTAACTACGATATTAAATATATTTATTTTTTATTTTTTATTTCATTATTCTTCATCTTCCTCATTTTCTTCTTATTCTTCTTCTTATTCTAACCATTCTATGAAATCGTTACACTTTTGTATTTTATTTTTAATATATATATATATATATATATATATATATATATATATATATATATATATATTATTTTAATTTTATATACTAATTCTAAAAACAATTTTTATTTTTCATTGCTATCTTTTCTTCTTTCTTTCACCCAGTTTAATATAATTTCCTGAACAAGGACTTCAATTTAGAATAAAAGCTTTAGATAAATAATAATATTATAAAATAAAAATTATAATATACTTATAAAAATATATGAAAAGTATTCTAATAGGAAATATTATTTGAGCAAAATTACTATTTGTTTTTTTATTTTTTAAGGAATAATAAATATATTATTTATTATTTCATTAATAAATAATTATATTAAAATAAAAAACCTCAATTAATTAAATAACTGTTAATCCTTCTTCATTAGAATGTACAAATTTCCTAAAAATTTTATTCCAATTTTCTAAAAGCAATTTTATTTCACTTACTTTTACTTAATCATCAGCATCTTTGTGTCTTAATAGATCTTATAAAATAACAGGCAAAAACATTCTTAAAAACTCAGAGTTTTATTTATTTTCTGCTATCTAAAAAAATAATAAAATTAAAAAGTAATAAAAAATATAAATATTATTACTTTTAAATTGTGTATTTCAACACTAGCATGGTCGATTTCTGAAGAATCTTTTAAAGAGTGTTCTATAATTTCTCTTATTTCTTCTTCCAAATAATTGTCTTAGTTATTATCTTCATTTAAATTATCAAAGCTATTGTCAGGAGTTTCTAAATTAAGTTCATCTTCGAACTTTTCCCTTATCAATTCTTGATTAAAACCAATAATTTCTAAATTTAGGTATTCATTTTTTTCATCAGTATATATAAAACCCTTTTCAAATAATTAATTATTTATATGTTCATTTTTATTTATTTTATTAATGTCATATTAAATAAAAGATGCCTAAAATATTAATAAATATACAAATATATATATATATATATATATATATATATATATATATATATATACATATATATATATATATATTCAAATAATTTTTAATAATTACTTTTGTATTTTCTCTTAATATTTAATTTTATTTTAGAATTACTCCTTAAAGTAAAAAACATCCATTATTTACTTAAGAATTTTATTTTAATATAACATCATTACAAATAATAGAATTTTCAATATATACATTATCTTCTATTTGTACATTATCCCATATAATGCATCTTAAAATATTTATGTTTTTTCCTAAATTACAATTTTTCCCAATAATACTTTGTTGAATATTACAATTATTTCCAATTTTTGTTTTTTCGCCAATAAAACTATTATTTCCAATAATTGTTGTATGTGAAAAAGATGCATTTTTAGCTATAAAAATATTATAGTCTTAATAATTATTTATATTTTTAACATATTATATATTTTATTAGGATTAAAAGAAGTAAAATATCTATTTAATTTTTGTTTTATTATTTATTTTTGAAATAAATATTACCTTTTTAAAAAATCTTAATTTATTTTATAATAAATTTTTGGATCTGAAATTTTAAGGAAATTTTCATTTTTAGAAACTAGAAAATAATTAATTTTCTCTTCATTAATTTCAGCAGTAAGTAATTCTTTAAGAAAATCATCTCTTAAAGAGTGATGCATATAATTTTCTTAAAATGCTTTTAAAACATCAGGAGAACAAATATAAATTTAAGTATCTAAATAACTATAATTAACTTAAAAATCAATACAAGATCCTTTTGATATTTTTATTCTATCTAAATTAACCTTAAAATAATCTTATTAAATCATTTTTTCAATCTAAACAATATTATTATTTACTTCATCTATTAAAAAAGCATAATTATCTTCTTAAAAAGATCTACTATTGTCAAATATATCAACATTCTTTAAAACTGCTGTAATAATATTTAATGGATTTTCCTTTTTTTTGTTCTAATAATGTCGTACAATTTATGCCAAACGGAGATTTGATATAATATCTCCATAAGAAAGTAAAAAATCGCCATATATTACTCTTTCTTAATTTAGTTCTCTTAATGCATCTCCGACACTCAAAAAATATTATTTATGTAATAATTATTTATAAAGAAATAATATTACCTTTTAGCATCATTAGCATAAATTAATTTAATTTTTATTTATTAATCTTGCCTATTATGAAAGTAATTTTCAATCTATTCTTTATTAGAAGTATATACTATAAATACTTCTTATATTTTATTTGATTATATCCACATTAAAGAATATTCTATAATAGGAACACCGCATACAGGAATTAAAATCTTATATTTTGATATATAAAAAAAAATTGTATTTTACTTTTGGAATTTCTAATGATATTGGATTTAATTATTAATTATATGATTCTGCTAATAAAACAGCTTAAAAATTTTCTTTTATCTTAATAATATAAAAAAATATAAAATATATATTTATAAATATATAAATATATTTATAAATATATATGTAAATATATATATTTATATATTTTTATATAAAATATAATATTTTTTTATTTATATAAATATTTTTTATTTTTAAATATTTTTTTATACTTCTAATTATTAGTTATTATCTTATTTTTGGGTTTATTTTTTCATTTATATTATAGTTTTTTTTATTTTAATATATAATAAATATCTTTATATTTTTTATTATTTTTATATATTATATATATTTATATATATATATATTTATGATAATTATATTTTTTATTAATTAATATTTATTTTATTTTATTTTATTTTTATACAATATTTTTTCTCTAAAATTAATTTTATAATAAAATTATTAATTTTACTTTATATTATGTTTTTATTTTCAGTTTATTTTTTTATAAAAATTTATTCATATAAAGTAAAATTAACATTTTTGTAATCTTTTAAAGTTATTATTCTTTTGTATTTTTTTTATTATATAAGTTATAAAATAATTGTGAATTTTTGTTAAAAATATTAAAAATATTGAAACAAATACAAAATAAATTTTAAAAACTAATAATAGTTCTTTTATAATATTATTTAAGTTTTTAAAAAGATACTATACTAAGAATCTTTATTTAATATATATTTATAAAATATTTATTTAAAATAAGTAAAATATTTAATTATAAATTATTTTTATTTATTGATTAATATATTAATTATAATCTTTAAAATATAAAGAAGTTATTATTTTTTATTGTATTTTATAATCTATAATTTTTATACAATCTCATACATTAATTATTGGATAATCTAAAAACATGTTTTTGTTATGTTATAGAAATAAAATATAATTAACAGATAAATAACAAAAGCAAAAAATAAAAAATTATTATATTATATATTTATATATATATATTATATAATAAAAAAAAAAATTACAAAAAGTTAATAAAAATTAATAATAAATAAAAAGGTATTTGAAGAAATAAAATGAACAAAATGTTGTTAATATAAAAAAATTAATAATAATAAAATCAATATTTATAATAAAAAGTTAGTAAATTAAATATTAAAAATGATTAAATACAAAAATCAAACTAAAAAGACAGTATTTTAATACAAACAACTACCGAGCAATCAAATGATTTAATAAAGTTTCCAACAAATAAAAAAAATTAACGATTTTTCAAAATTTCTTATGTTAATCGTCCTTAAACATCAGCAGCTAATTACTTTAAATTAAATAAATAACCAGATTCTTTTGTTGATGAATAATTATATGTTACATTGAATGATGAAGATAATTAATATTTTAAGACATCAGAAACTTATAGAAAATCTACAAAAAGACCTTTTATATCAGCAAAGAAATTTCTAGGTTAATCTTAATTTTCTGAAGAATACTAAACTAAATTAGCAACTAATATTAAATCTATTTAATATCTTAAAGATAGATTAGATAATGCTTTAGAGTAAGTTGATAATGATAATTTTAAATAAGAAGAATAATAAGAGAATAATAATTCAAAAGATGAATTAAAAATTGAGAATGGTGTTTATAGTAAATAAATATATTTTAAAAAGATTTTAAATATTATTTGATTTCTATATATTAAAATATACTATTTCTATTTTAATTTTTTTTTTTTTTTTATGAAAGAAATTGATACACCAATATTATAAATCTAGTTATAAAAATTCTCCTTTAAATATTATAAAATTACTATTAAAAATTAACAATAACCTTTGTATATACGTAAATTGAATAAAATTTATTTATTTTTTATAAAATAAAAATAGTCTTAAACAAATTAGAAGGACCGAAAAAATATAATTTAAAAGCTGTTTTAAATACAGAAAATTAAAATCCAAATATTTTTAATAGTAATTTAGTTTATGATAATAGATAAGTGATTAGGTTTACAGAATTTTCATAAAATAGTTTTTTTAATTCTGTATATCTTTATATATGTTTAAGTTGTGATAAGACAATAAAATTATTATTAAATATAAAATATGGTGGAAATACAATAAAAAAAACATAAAAAAGTTAACATTAAGCAACTTCTTTTAGTAAAATAAAAAATCTTGAATTATAATATAATTATGTTGATGATAAGATTTTAAATGAGCAAATATGTATTTTTTATGTTTTTTATTTTTATTAGTAAATAAAATAGAACTTATATTAATAAAAAGAAAATTGAAATTGTAAAATAATTCTCATGCATTAGAATATGTTAAACATAATAAAAAACTAATAAAATATAAAATTGATTATAATTAAAAACATTAAGCTCATAATGAACATTTTCAAAACGTATTGTAAAACAAAAAATATATTGAACACGAAAAAAAAAACTTTCTAGTTAATAGATTAATGCTTAAAGAAAAAAAAGAATAATTAATAAAATTTTTAAAATTTAAAATTAAATGCATTTAGGTTGGAATAAATTTTATACAGTTTGGATTTAAATAAGTTAACTTATTTAGTTAATTAAAAAAATTAATTTTATTTTAAAAGTATTATATTTATTTTTTTAATAATTTTTTCAAACACTAAATTTATTTAAAATTATATAAAAGAGAAACTTATATTAAAAGTATGCTTAGCTTTATGATGAATTTCTATAAAGAAAAGGTTTAAGGACTTTAAAATAAAATTTACCCGATTTTAAGAATTATTAAATAAAAAGTGCTTTATCTAAATCAAAAATGTAAAATTCATATTAATATTTATCATTTTTTTTTTTAAGGATAATAAACGCATATTCTAATTATATAATAAAGAAAACTAATAATAAAATGAAAAAATAAATCGTTTATTTTTTTAAAAATTTTAAAGATTTAAAAATACTTTATTCTAAATTAATTGAAAAAAAAGAACTAGGTATTTGATAAAAAATTAAATATATATATTTATTTTTATAAAAGCAATAAAAGTTGAAAACAAATGGTTATCTTATTGCTAATTAAATAAAATAACATTTAGAAGACATAAAAATATAATTTAATTAATAATACGATATAATTTTTAATTAAATATATTGATAATGCAATTAATTGTAATAATTATATAAAATATTTTTAATAAATATTAATTAATTTTATTAAGATTTATTAGAAAATAATAATGATAATTATATTATTTTGTAATAATAAAAAAGATTAAAATAAATATAAAAACATGACATTTAATTAATATCTGAGTTAATATTATAATATTTTTAATAAAAATTGAAAAATTGGAAAGTTGAATTTGTAAAATATAGAAAATTAAAAAACCATTATTAAAGATAAAAAGTAAAAAATAAAATAAAAATAAAATATATTTAAAAAAAAAGTAATTAATAATGTAAGAAATGATGAATAGTAATACATTAAATAGTAATCAATAATAAATCAAAAATTTTACTAAAAATGATTAATAGTATTTAAAATTTTAAAATATTTCATAATAAAAGTTTAATAATAATAATAATAATAATAATAATAATAATAATAATAATAAAATGTTTAAAGTTAATTACTTTCATAAATATAAATTTATAATAATTATAATTTTGCTGAAATTTTATTAGAATGTCCTTTTTTATTTAATAAAATACTGGATAAAGATTTATAAGAAATAGTTTAAAAATATATTTTTTAGAAGAAATTATTACCAGAATATTTATTATA